TTGATGAAAATTAAAACTGTTCCTACATTTCAATTTACTCTATAAAATAGTTTATCGACTATCGTTTTTTTTTCTGTCTGAATTGAAAATAAATCTAATGATGAAAATTTTGATATTCTAAAATTAACAAGATTGTTTTGTTTGGGTCAAATTATTATTCTCATCGTTGATTTAATTCGTTCAAAATATGAGTTATCCATGACAACACTGAACCAAGATATTCAATTTCGCTACAGAAACATGACAAATAGATAGATCACATTAGAATCATAGTAGATTTAATTTCTTCGAAAAGGTTAGTAATATTGAACTGGAAAGAAGATAGATTTTATGTGTGAAAGATGACTAGTATGTAATAAGATGCTTGACGATTACAGACATTGATGCATCACGTTGTATTTCATTAATTGTCTTTGCACCGAGGGTAAAAAATGTTGGCGTTATTGTTATAAGATTGAAGATCTTCATATGTCTATTTGAAATAAACCTATTGAAATATTAATTTCAACTTCAATTGCTTTCAGTTGAAATAAGATCGAAAGTACTGATAACTTTTCAGCTAGATCGTGGAAGCTCATTTGTTTCAAAAATCTGATGAATGTATATAAAAATGAATGCGAATAGCTTCCATTATGTTCCTATAACAAAAGTAAATACTTTAAAAATTGAAGAATTTTATTCAGAATCTCCATAAGGAAATCATATTTTGATTTGGGGTTAGATTCACGGTTAGAGGAATCATTTGACTTCAACAAGGTTAATATTTTGAACTTTAAGTACAAAAAGTTTCATTATCAGAAAAACGTAACCTCATGATTATCGATCTATTGAAATAATAAGTTGTAAAAAGAATTGAAAATATGTAACAAAAGTATTTCAAATCATAATGAATTAGATTTCGAAACTTATTTGCGGTTTTTTTATTATAAATCTGTGTATTTTATATGATTTTCAACGAAGAAAATGGGTATGAAGCTGAAGACGAACGTTGACTCTTTCGAGCTGTGAGCACCTTTTGATACTATTAGACAGTGTTATATGCTACCAGAGAGACTACATTCATCTTTTATATTATTTCAAATGTCCGAAAAAAAAACACATTTACATTTATTTCTATTGTATTTGCATCAGAAAATAGAAAGTCAAAAATCTGACAATGTAAAAACATAACTTTCAAATTCTGATATTGTATTAGGAGATCTTTATTATCAGAGTGATTGATTAATTATATCTGAAATTTCAAACAAAGAATGAGGAACTTCTTTGTTACGGTTTTCGAGGATTTCTAGAAAACTTATTCTTAGATAAAAGAGAAAAAGAATATTTCGATCTATTAAAAATAGATCTATTGATAGGAAAAACTAAATATAAAAAATGTTACTTCACTAAATAATATCTTCTTCACATGTTTTTTGGTTTCATTTCTTGGTTTAAGTTAAATCTTTTTTTTTTGTCACTGGTATCAGTAAACACAATTTGAATATCCAATTGTAAATGAATTGAATGAAGATCTCTATTTATTTTGATGTCCTCTAAAATGTAAACAAATTTTATTAGAAAAGATAATTTCTTATTGTTTGATGTACTTTTCGACTTGAAGTATACTGTTTTTCGTTGATTTCGATCTAAAAATTAAGGTGAAATAATAGAATCAATCTTATGAATTCATTTTATAAAGAATAATTGTTAATATTTTATCTTTTCATTCTACACTGTTGTATAAGATGAATCAATCATTTTTGATGAACGAGATCATATTTTTGAAAAGCAGAAATTTCTCTAGAATTTATTTTTCAAGAATTTTTCCGAAACTTTGAAAATGAAATAATAAATAAGACTCTTTTCTTTATGCGAGCTCGATATCTAAATGATTAATTCTTAAACATGATTTGTTGTTTCAGGTAAAAGGTATTTATCTTGATCGTGATATTCTATTCGAAGAATTATCATCTGATGTAAAAATGTATACAAATATTGGTGATCTTCTTCCAATATCAATTTATAATCGACTTGATATTGTTCAAAATAATAATTCATCAAATGATCATTTACGTTTTCTTTTTTATCAATTATTTATTCATGAATATTGTTTAAAATCATCTTCATTAAATAAAATAAATCTTATTGAATTAATTGAAAATTATTATTATTTAAATCGATATGAATTAAATCAAATAAATGAATTTGATAAAGAATATAATTCAACAAAAAATGTTTTAATATGGTTTTTAAAAAATTCTTTTCTTCGAAGATTATTAACAAAATCTTTATTAATATTAAATTTACAAATTTTATTTACATTAAGATTTTTTATTAAAGATATGTATAAAGCAATGATTGATATTGGTTCATCATCAAATAAATATCATCATATAGAAAATGAAGAAATTTTTTATCGAAGTCAAATTATATCTGAAGAAACATTTGGACGAATTAAATCAAATATTGGTACTTAAAAAAGAACTTTTTTTTGAATATTTATATGTTATTTATTTGTTTTTATTTAGGTGAATTATTATCAATAAATAATTTTTTCTTAGCAAATAAAAATCGACATAATGCATTATCATTTATTCGTCAAAATGTTTCATCAACTAATTTGATTTATCGAGTTTTATTTGAAATTAAAATTCCGTCAGATTATAAATTTCAAAAAAAACATCCATTTATTGATGTAACACAGTTTTCTTCTGATGAATATACAACTTTATTTTTTATTGGTTCCATATTTCAAATTAATACAGTTATTTTTGATATTAATAATGATTGTTGGACTATACAACTTACATTATATGATGAACGAGCAAATGAAGATTTTTTTCGAGTATTCACATTTCTTAATGAACATCATACTCCGTTAACGTTAGCTAATCTTCTTCGACGAATTAGTCCGAATTCTGCTAAACAATTTTATAAACATATTTTAAAAGAAAATTCAGAATCATCTTCAAGACTTGAATGTTATCGTGGTCTTGGTCTATGTTCATATTCATGTGAAGATTATGAACAAGCATTAATGTATTTTGAAAAAGCTCTTGAAATGGAACCAGAAGATCAATTAATAAAATCATCTTTACATAATTCAATTGGTCTTGTTTATGCTCAACAGGATAATATTGATCAAGCACAGTTTCATTTTTCTGAAGCATTAAAATATAGTTCATCACCATTACATGTAGCATGTGCTCATTATAATTTAGCATTAGTTTATGGTAAACAACGTTTATATGATGAAGAACTTGATCATTATCAAGAAGCATTTGAAATTCGTACAAATCAATTACCTGCAGATCATTTACAAATGGCTTCATTATTTAATAATATTGGTGTTGCATATTCAGATTTACATGAATATGATAAAGCTTTATCAAATTTAAGAAAAGCACTTGAAATACGATTGAAATTATTACCTGAAAATCATATTGATGTTGCAAGAAGTTATGCCAATATTGGAGCTGTTTATGTTAAAACTGAAGAATTTCGAATGGCTTTAGAATATTTTAATAAAGCACAACTTTTATTTGAAAAACAACAACCAATACCAGAACAAGATATGCAACAAATTAATCAAAATATTAAAATTGTTAATGAGAAACTTCAATGAATAAAAAAAAAAAAAAACAAGTAATAGTTTATTATATTTATTTAAAATTTTTGTTTGATTAGAGAACAAGATACTTCTATCGATTGACTTTTTTTTTTGTTTTTGATTTTTGTTTCTTTTTAAAAATCATTGTAAATAAAAGTTTTTGTCAAATAAAGTAAATATTGAGAAATAACTAAAATCTTATTAATTGAAGATATAAGTATGATAACAATATTGTTATTATTCAAGTTTCTTTATTTTAAACTTACTCGTTCTTGTAGAATTAGATACTTGACAATGTAATTTTAATTTAAAAAACATTCATTTATACGTAACTCAAGATTATATCTATGGAGATATATATTTATGTCGTGTTCATTGAGTTCTAGATGTTTTTGTTTATCTTGAAATAGATAGAAATTCGCGGCGTAATCAGAAGATTGTAGGTGATAAGCAGGAAGCTGTAGTCCTTCTGAATCAAAGAAGAAAAAGTGTATTTCTGTATATTCAATGTATTTCTGAAATACAGAAATACGCGTTTTCCACTTGCCAACATTCCATGTGGATACATTTTTGTTAAAAATTATTTCAAATTCAAGAAAGCTTATTTAGTTCAAGACATATGTATGCGTTTTAGAATTACAACTGGTCTTTTATGTCGTAAAAAAAAACTGTTTTATTGTTATTTGGATAAAAAAAGAGAAATAGACGAAGAAAATTAAAGTTAGCCATAAAGTTTATCGAATGATCTCCTGTAATAATGAATTTATGAAATTGTACGAAAACATCTAGTCCACTTTTGAATTTCTACAATGAATTTAGTTTTGTAATTTTTTGATGGTAAAACAAAGACTAAGAATGTTGATGTCGATGGTAGAAATGAAACATAATAACCAATAAGATATAGTCAAGGTTCACGTGGTGATCTCATGCATCCTTTGATATATGATATGTTTAAACGTGGTAGAGCCAATAATACCAAAGAACAAAGTGTGATCAAGAGATGTTTATGTTGACGTATTTCTTTTTGTAAGTGTTCTTTGCTAATCAAATTAATCGAAAGTGGATTGAGAAAATGAAAGAGAGTGAGAAATAAATCATGAATATTGACATTCGCTAAATATCGAGCAAAACATCAAATTCTACTTTCATCAACATCAAAATCATCAATAAGTTCACGATAAATATTGGATCATGAATATGTGTTAGTATTATGAAAACAAACATACAAAAAATTACCCATCTAGCTAATTTTTTACTTTTGTTTTTATTGAAATTTTTATTCCGAATGACACTAACCATTCTTTCAATAGTTACTACTGCATTAAACCATTCACTTGATACTAAAAGATAATTACGTGAAAATATAAAACCTTTAGTTGAAAATTGGCAATTACTACCATAGTAACAATTTTCATATATACATTGGACATGTTTGATTATTTTGAAAACATTGTGCTTTATTTTCACAATCATTATATCCATGACAACCATAATTTATTGTATGATTAAAAATAAAACAATTAGAAAATCGATCAAGATCACAAATACACATATGATCTTTATCATAAAAACACATCATTTGAGAATATTTTCGACATAAAAAATGAATAATATTTTGTACGATTAAAATATTCATAATTAACAAATGTTTTATTAAGAAGTTCTTCAATTGAAAAACAACGTTGTTTTGGTAATATTTCAGTATAAATTTTCTCTAAAAGTATAAATATTTCTCTTAATACTGCTAAATAATCATATTGACTAGGTATTTGAATAAAAATAATATTAAATGGTTGTGCTATACTAAGTTTAATGATACTTTTAATCATAAGGTATTCTTTTTAAGACACTTGTTCGATCATGTTTTGAATTTTGAAATGCTATAATAAGATGTATGAGTAAAGATGAAGTTATTTTTCTTATTATTTCATCTAAACGTATAATAATCTCACTATATATATTTTCACATCATTCACCTGAATAAATTTCTTTAAAAAGACAAGTAAATGTTTGTAAATTAATTCGATCATCCGTTGGTATCATAAACCATTATGTTGACATGGATTGTTTTTTCAATCACAATTGAATGTTTCAAATAACATCTAGGACCAAATTTATGTAATGGACATATGCAAATAGATGAAGTCAGGCAAAATGAATCATTTGTACATGAACATGTATGTCGTATATTACATATAGAACCAGAATATGCTTGATCACATTGACAAAAAAATAATAATTTATTATTTGTATATCTCGTGCATCGACCGTGATTTCCACATGATAAAGAACATGGTTCTATGTCTTCTAGATCGAAAATTTTCAATTGAGTAGCTATTCGATTAACTGGTAAAAATGAAAATGGTATAGATAAATACCAACTAGCCCAATGATCTCTAAAGTTGTTTTATGAAAAGCATCAATACGAATCGAATAATTAATGGATAAATTTTTCGGTCGATTTGGCTAAATTAAGTAAATATTATATTTTGTATTACAATCACGAATAGGCATATATGCTATTTGTTCATAATTATCTATGATTTGTTCTTGTTCATCAATAAGCATAATAATCATTTGAGAAATAGTCATCAAGGATATTTTGGTACGTACAGAGAATTGAAGAGTCAAACTAATACGTTTGATTTTGCCATTGACATCAATTACCAAAATAACTTGGTGGACAAAGACATTCTTTTCTTTCATTCATGCCAGTTAGTACAACAATGCCTTGATGACAATATCGAAGTAATGTAACATCAATGTCAGATACACTCTTTCTCTTTCAATCCATTTTAGAAATAGAGGATGCAGGTGTGGCCGGAGTGTGGGTGTGAACGTGAGGAAGAGAATGATACCGACACTCACATCCACACCCTGAGCTTGATATATGTTTCTATGGCAATCATCTTGCTACTCTTTGCAGTAGATTATCTCATTTGAGATCAGTTCATATTGCTATTCAAGTGCAGTTTAGAGAACCTTCAAGCAGCCATATATTATATGATTTCATTCCAGCTTTTCGTACACGTTTTTTGGTTCAATGGATCTTTAGGTCACATACGAGTGTGTGTGAATTATCGTCAAGTATTTTCGTCACGTACAGATGTTCTCTCTTCCATATACATTTTCTAATAATAGTCTATTTCGTACAATCGACCTGATTGATGCATTATTCAACGACAGCAACGAAGAGAAAGAAATATCAAATGATCTGTCTATGATACTTAGACCTCTCTCGTGTAGTATGAAATGGTTGCTTATCTCTTCGGTTGAAAGAAAAACGTACCACTTTCATTTCTTTACGCACTTCAATGTCCATCTAGTCATAGTAAGTGATTAATATTATTTTTTTTTTCAAAAAAACCACGTTATGTATGAGTGATGTCGTAATCCCGTTACATCGGGTATCCACCGCGAAACAGCAATTACCCCAAGGGTAATGATATCACTCTGTGCCATGGAAACTATATACTTTTTAAAGTTAAGCGTTTTGAGGGGTTTTGGTGTATTACCCCAAGTGTAATGACATCGCTGTGTGCAATAGAAACTATATACTTTGTAAAGCTGAGCGTTTTGAGTGGTTTTGGTGTATTATCCCGGGGGAATGACGTCGTTACACCAAATCCACTCAAAACGCTCAACTTGTACGATATATAGTTTATGTAAGGGGTATTGAAGTCATTACTCCTGTTCGTTAATTATAGATCGGGAAAGTGAATACACTTGATTACTCTGCGGGTATTTTGACGGTTGGCTCTCGATACTCCGTGTAATGGTATTATGACATCTATGCAACTATTATATACCATTCGATAGAGAATTTCAAGAGCTACAAAATGATATATAAAACATGAGGAAACAGGAAGATTATCTCACCCATCGCAAAGATAAATTGGGAAGAATCGGTTCTGTTTTTGTGCATGCTCTAATTGCTCACCAATTAGAGCTCCATCTTTCGACCATAGAGATGATAATCGAAGGTTGTCTGGGATGGAGAACTAGAATCTGCACTAAACTTGGCTCGAAGCCCCATTGGTCGAGTATTGACCAATAGAAATCATGTTATAGGAAAACGACTTTCTCAGGCTAAATAAAGTCGAACAGGTGAAATTTGAGGTCTATACGCTCCTAAGTCCTACGGTTGAACACTAGGCAATGGAATTCAAGGGTTTATAGAAAAGGTTTGCCACGCAAATTTTTATATCCAGACATTCTAGGATGACCGATTTGTCTCATTCACTTTTTGAAGTACACATAACTCTCGGATATAAATCCGAGATTTCCACATTTTTATTTTATGATTGTTTGAGCGTGAATTTTTCGGTATGTGTTGTATTTCATTTATCTACGGTATATTAGCTAGTCGAAAAGATGCTTGTGTTTTAAAATCGTTTCATGATAATTATCGTTTTCAACATACTTTCTTTCGTCTACCATTTTTTTGTGACTCATGTAAATTTCATCATGGTTGAAACTATGTGATTTATTGAAAGTGCATTTCATAACAAATTCTTGTTGTGTACGCAAATAGTGAGTACACTCTAGAATCGGTCAGTGTGTCCGTCCAGCCGGCCGTTAACACGATAACTTTTGAAAAGAGAGACAGATCATGATGAAATTTTCTACACAGTTTAGTCTCAACAATATCTCGGTCGCGTTTGAAGATGAGAATGATTGACCGAGCCGTTCCTGAGTTATTGCAAAAATAGTCATTTTTCCCTATGCCTTCCTATGCGAAAATCGACCCCTTCTCACTTTCGTGAACAATTTTTCCTATCATAGTCAAATAAAACCCCAAGTGTTATATACTATTCGATAGAGAATTTCACGAGCTACAAAATGGTATATAAAACATAAAGAAATGAGAAGGCTAACTTACCTAATGCAAAGATAATTAAACGGAAATTGATTCTGTTTTTGTCCATGCTCTGTTTGATCCACAATTAGAGCTCTATCTTTCGATCACAGAGATGGTACTTCGAGGTTTTCTGAGGCGGGAAACTCGAATCTGTACTCCACTTGCCTCGAAATACCATTGGTTGAGCAGGACCCAATAGAAATCGAGTTATAGGAAAAACGACTTTCTTAGGGTAAGCCAAGGCGAAGAGTTCAAATCTAAGCTGTATACGCCCCTAAATCCTATTAGCTGACCAGTAGCCAATAGAATTCAAGTGTTAATACAAAGGGTTTGTGTCATATAGTGACAATAATTCCATTGCTGCACTTCTACTTTCTTTTTGTGCTTTGTCTTCTTCATATGAGTCATCACATTATATAGATATACGCATCTATACAATCTATACATATATATGCATGCCTTTTTCTGTTCAGTGTGAGTTATTCTTGTTTCGTTTTTGCTGCATCTATCTTGCATTCTTTCTGCTGTTGCTCTTCGAGTCAATATACTGGTATTAACTCGACCTCTCTATTTCAAATACGTAATTGAAATACGTGACAGTTTGCTAGGATAATTTTGATGCCCACACATTCTAGGATGACTCAAGTGTCTAATTCACTTTTTGAAATACACATAACTCTCGGATTTAAATCCGAAGTTTCCACATTTATTTTTTTTAAAATTTTTATAGATGATTTGTTATTAAATATACATATATACAATATATGCGACCTGATACATATGAAGTACCTTTTCCAATGTTACTAAATCGTGCTTTTGAAATTTTACTTGGATTTCGAAATACTCGTACATATAATGGTATTCAAATAAAAAATTTACAACGTATATTAGTTATTAAATGTCTAAATACATGTGATTCAGAGGAATGGACACAACATTTATTAAATTTAACTAATCAAGCAAAAGATTTTATAAGTACAACATTACAACAAGTTGCTTTAATTCATTTGCATCAGTACACAAACCACAATTAGCTTATTGGTAAAAACAAGATTATTATTTATTAACATGTAAATTTTAATATATGTCTATAGATTTATTAACGGGAAATCATATATGAAAGTCGTAGTTAAAGCTCTTTTAACAGTTAAAGAAGAAATTTTTATTACTTATTCGTGACTTTCATCAGAAATAATGTTAATAAAACCAACAGATGATGAAACATTTCGACTTGATAATATATTAGGAAAAATAGCTGTAAGATCTTTATTTTTATTTAATATAACTAAAGAATTTTTATTTAAATAATAGGATGAAGATGTTCGCGTATATGTAGTGGTTTTTAAAGAAGTTTCATTTGCTATAGATTTAAATAGTTTATATACAAAACGAATATTAATTGGTAAAAGTTAAAACGAATTTATTAAAGTTAGTTGAAAGTTTTAATGAAGTACAATTTGATGAACTCTTCTTTTTTTTTCTTTATAATCTCTAAAGTTCATTCGTCATCCTGGTCATTATCCAGCAAATGAAGTTTTCTTATGGTCTCCTCATGAAAAAAAAACAGTTGTTATCGATCAAAAAATTGCATTTGTCGTTAGAATTGATCTATGCTTCGCTTATTGGGATTTCGATTGTATGCGATGAGCGGAGTGAAAAATTCGAAATTATTTTCTTTTCAATAACTTTAGAAAATCTGTTTTTGTGTGATTGTTTGCAGGATAGAAATAGAAAAACCTTTAAAGTCTTTGTTTTTAATCTGCAAGTTGGTATCGCAAAATAGAAAGAAAGAAATAGAGATCTCGGATAAACTTTATTTTTGCGAATATTTATTAGATCGTTTTAGTATCCTTATTAATTTGGATGAAGAAATGTGAAAAAACTAAAAATGCTATTAGAAATAGCTGCAGAAAAGGAAATAACATGTAGTAAAGAAAGTGTGAAAGAATCAGAAGTTAATACGACAGATACAATTAAGAAAGTGAGTGAAAAGCCTCCGAAGATCACAAATAGACTATCTCATTTGTTCAACACTTTTGTCCTGATTTTTGTACTTCATTGAATAATTTTTGTTTAATTTAGGTTGATGTCTTCTTGCTAATCGATTCATGATGTTCTGTTGATTTCTTCTTGTATTGACATATGTTTCTTTTATTTCGATACTCGAATAAACACTCTCTCGCTTTTTAGTTTGTGTGTTTCTGTTAATTCAACCGTTTATTGCTTTACATTCTCATAGCTTTTTACCTTGATTTTTTTGTTATTCATCCGACAATTGTTTCATGTTTCTAGATTCATTCAGCTTTTCATCGGGTTTTTTTGTCTGTCGCTTTATTGTCAGTATGTTCCAATTATTCTGAAGTGAATTATTCATCTCTCTTTTTAGCTCTTCATATTTCATTCAATCGTTCATATTCTACTTGATCTATTTGTTATATTTCGAGTTAGTAAATCTTATTTATTATTATTTTTTGAATTAATCTGCTTTTCTTTTTAGTTCTTCATCGTTCATCTGATCGTATTGGCTCATCTTTATCCACTTGACCATATGGGTGTGGGTATGGGTGGGTGTGGGTGTGGTTGTGGGTTGGGTGTGGGTTGGGTGTGGGTTGGGTGTGGGTAGGTGTGGGTGTGGGTGTGTGGGATGTGGGTGTAGGTATGGCGTGTGGGATGTGGGTGTAGGTATGGCGTGTGGGATGTGGGTGTGGATGTTGATGAGCAGAAGAACAGGGCCCACACTCACACCCACATCCCAACTTTTTCCTCAATTGATATTTGATAATTTTCATTTATTTAAAAACATGGCTAGCTCGTCGACCTTCATTAAAGTTGGTTTTGAAGGTTCAACAACAAACGGCAATACTCGGTTTCACTTAAATGATCAACATGCTTTATCGATGTCTGAACTCTCAGAAACGTTTCCGGGTATTATTGGTCTTAAATATCGTTTTGCGGAATCTGATGGATGGAAATTGTAAGTTTCTATCTTCTACCTTCAGAGTACATTTTAAGGGTGATACTTTGTCTTTTTTTATCGATCACAGTGTATTAGATTTAATTTACTTTACTAATAAAGTCAAGTTTAGTCAATTATTTAATGTAACTTTATCCAAACAAAACAAAGCTAGTGACATTCAGATGCTGCATTTCATTATAACAAGCATAAATTTGAACAACTTTATTTATTTTATGATTTTCTTTTAAATATGTGCAAATTTTTCAAAAAAGAAAATTTCATTATTTCCACGTCTAATCTACAGAAAACTTATTAAAATTGATATTTTCCTAGGTTCAAAACAATTAAAAATAATCACCAAATGACATATGAGGTTAGATATAAAAAAATTGATCTTTTTTATTTTATTTCAATTACCAACTTTCGATACGAAATTGTGTAATTATCAGGCAATAAGGACATAATAAAACAAGAAAGACAAGTTGAATTTATAGTTTAAAATGAAATAAATCATCTAATATCTAAATCGAATGGTTTCATCTATTCAAAAAATTGATGTTTGACATAACTTGTCTCTTTTTTTTTGTTAAATATTTGTTTGTACCTGATGATGGACATGAAAACTTACCCTAAACTTGTAATTAAAACAGAAAAAATAGACTATCTTGTTACATTCAACGTCATATTTCTATTCGTTACAAAACCTATTCAGAGCTTCAAATTTATAAATAACATAATATTTCCATTTTATTTGCATATTTCTCACAGATATGATCAAAAATAATTCATGTTGATACAGTGGGTTGAATATTATTTGTCCGCCTCTCTTCTGCTATCTTGTTTTCTTGAATGACTCCAAAATAAACCAAATTGTGTATCCTAATGCATACTATATAGCAGAGTTTGTCGATAATCTATGTGCAAATGCTTCGGCGTTTCGAGTTACTCTCGTTCGATTTTTTAATTCAGATAAAAAGTTAGGGTGGACGAATAATTTTTCGGTTTATTGTAGTACTATGAAATTTCTTTCTAGTTCTTTTGCATGATGAAAGTAAATTGTGATGTTTCTCTTTAGCTTTCAAAGAGACTCAATTTTTTTTAATGATTCTTTTTTCCTATTGTAGAGTGATCAACAAAGATGCTGATGGCAATTTAAAACCGGACGATTGGGATACATGGCATTGCAATATAGTTTAAGTGCAGCTTTATCCAATACGTAAGATTTTATTATTTAAATATGCACTAAAGCTTAAACGTTCGAGTTTTACCTTTCGAGGTTAATATAATATATAAATTGGTAAAGGTCTTACCTAAAGATTAACAACTGGTGTAATATGAAAATGATATCTTACGCTCTAAAATGATTAGGTTCATTGAACCATATATACGAACTATCATTTATCTATTCTAGGTTTCTCGAGGAAGAAAAGATAAATCTTGTATTCCACGAATCCTCACGCACTTTCCGCGAGTTATTATGAATTTTGAAGACTATGATAATTATTAGAAACCAAT